GAAAGATCTGTGTAAAGTACGATTCTCGTTGGTTTGGATTATTTAAAAGGACAAGCAAATGTTGTGAAATGTCAGAACTGTTTTACTGAAGAGTACTTCAGTTGTGTGATATCAAAAACAGTACAGTTGACACTAAAGCCTTCAGATCTGCCAGAAAATCCAGAGTAATCCTTCCTAGCTGGACAACAAGGTGACTAGTGCTTTCCAGTTGCAATCTAAAACTGAGAAGAAAGTATTTGTGGAAGGAGAGTATGTAAGAATGAAACATCCTATAAATTAAAACAAGCATTTAAATAGTGCACATGGGTCTGATATAGCTTTTCGTTTTCACTAACAGAATTCGAAACTTGAGAAAGCATGCCACAAAGAAAACTAGGGAAGACTTTCAAAACTCACGGTATTCTCATATTTTCAAACTGGCTTCTATAAATCTTGCATCTCAGCAACAGCAGTAATGTTTTAGGGCAAACTCTCCTACCACTAACACATTCAAATAGCAACAATTACTCACAAATTAAGCTGCATTAGCATAGTTGGGAATGACCGATATTAGGTCCCATGAGTGGTGCCATTATAATACAGGGTTACAACAGCCCATGTTCTTTAAGGACCTCAAAGACTCAGCCTCAAAACTTGTTGAACTTTCTATTTCAAACTTTCTTGTGAGAATGCACTCCTCACAATGCCCTTCTTAGAAGGAAGATGCGACAAATTGTGCTGTCTACATAGTAAACACAAAAAGTCTCCAGAAACTGTGGTGAGAAAAGAATCCGAGTTGTTCCCTCCTTTAGCCAACCTATTTTTAAATCAAAACCAGTAACAAGCAGACGAGGACTGAGGTGGAGATTAATTTTCCTCCATGCTTTTCAGTTTCATAAAGCTACTTTTATAACATTCAAGCAAATTGTACAGTGACTGACATGAACAAAATGACAGTAATCCGTCACTATTTCACATTTCCCCATCAGGTTGATTCAAAGTTATTTATGAACCTTACACTTCAATGGCCACTTTGATGACTAAACCATAAATTAGAATGTAAAGTGAATATAAATTTGATTTCAGAGTAACAACAAATTGTCAGCAAAGCGGGATATTATTTAATTTCTATCGACACGCTATGAAAAAGTCAGCAATACCAAGATGTGCTACATCATAATAAACCTCAAACTTTAAAAAAAAAATGCGCACTGTATCTCATGTTTGCTTCAGTGCTTCTGCGTTTAAAAATAAAAGCACTTTATATAATGCTTGGTTAGTTTTAAATATAAATTCTTAATAATGTCAGATGACTTCATTGCTTAGATCATTCAATTAGTGAGCAAGAATTAATTTTTTGTCCATAGAACATGATTAAATTTGACAGCAAAAAAATATTAATATGAATTGAGACTCTAAGGTTTTTAATAGTTCTGATGAAAAGCAGGCATACTTAATGATAAAGAGGGTTCCTTTTTTTTCAATATTTCTCTCTTGCTCTACAACTGAAATGGAAATGACTGTAAAATATAGTATAAATTGAGCAAAGAACGACAGCTCTCTCTCTCTTTTTTTTAGTAAAACTTGTTTTGGGGTGGGATAGAACTCAGTAAAAAAAATTTTAGTTACTCAGGCATCAATAAGTCATCCAGGAACACACGTTTCAAAAATTATCTTGCTAAATTAGTTTTCTTTTATGTGGCATGATGCAGCAGTGTTAAAAAAGGGAAGTTGTGACAAACACTCTCCAGTACGCCTGATTTTTCCTGAAATTCTTTCAGGACTTTTTCCTGAAATCCTTACATGGAATGATACCAAAGCGCAATCCAATCGAAAACTACTTTAGCAGATTAGTTTTGCATATTGGAAAATCCCTTAAATAGTTGAGATTTGAAAAAACAAACAAACAAAAACTTGTGACTTTAGTAACAACCGAGATTATTCAGCATTTTACTGATATGTCCTAGTGATAAAGACAGGCCTCAAGAAACAAATGCATAACAGAAAGACATTTAAAGCAGTTTGCTTGACAAATTGCTTGTTTATAATACATTTAAGATAATTGAACTAAGCACTGCAGTTTGAAAATGTTAGTAAAATTAAAACATAACAAGGTGAGATTTTCATATTTGGAAAATTCAAGTGGAGCTATTAATGAGAACTGGAAACCTACATGCCGCATTTCCCTCTGAACTTCTTCCTGGTTGAAAAATTCATACCTATTTATAAAACCTTTTAAAGTAAGATTTATGTATTATATGGTAGGACAAAATGTGTCTCTCAAGGATTTCTCTCAATCTGTAGTCAAGAAAAAATTCTTATCAAATAAATTCTTTGCCATTATTATAAAGTTGCAAAAGTGAACAAGTAGCAGATTAAAATGGTTCAGTTGCTGTAATGAAAGAAGTAGAATCCCTGCTAAGAGAAAATAATAAGTCTTGTCTAATTTTTTATTGCTATCATGTTCTTGAACAAAGTATTAAATGCACAGCATTTTTATCACTGCAAAATACAGGCTGGTGTATAATACAGTTACTTATAGTTCATGTACAGGCTCATTAGACATATCTGTGTACGTATACAGATATGCTTGTGTTTATATGTGATCAAGATGTTCACTAGCACTAGCAGCCAATGAACACAGGAAGTCCTTAAACCCAACCTACTCCTTCAGAAAGGACAGTGAGTGGGTATACTGGTCAGAGATTAATCAAACCAATATGCCTGCCTGTTACTCCTGCTTTTTCCAACACATCTGATAGACCCATCTGATACTGACTGACAGTCCTAAGGGTAAAACAAAAAAATTCATAAAAGGTGCAAGACAAGACCCACACCCTAGAGAGGAAAAAGCCGCCCAGCCAACAATCTTTCAGAGAAGTGGTATTTTATTTTCAGTGCCTACAGTAACAAGGTAATGTGTGTGTTCACCGGACTCAGTTAGAAGAGGTGAGTTTAAAATAAAACTCTGTCCCAGATCTCAGACGAGTCAGTAGAATCTCATTTTCCCAAAAGAAAAGCTGGAAAGTTTTTGTTTTAGCAAGACTTATCCAGCATCTGACTTAGAACTGCCTTTTTAAATTTAGGCTCACAGAACCAGTAAGAGTCAAATCCTACCTGCATTAAGTTGGGGTACACTGAACATTTAGGTATTACAAATCTGAGCCCTCATTTCAGTAGCCCAGCTTCACGTCTGTAAAGCCAGAACAGCATTTCCTACCTATTTCTACTGTTTTGATATCTTGATTTTGAACCTTTTTCAGAAAAAGAACTTGTGACTATAAAAGAGTTGCGCCAAGTAGGTCCCAGTTGAGATTTTTTTAAACCAAAAATAAATTTAATACCACTTCAGTCATTCATTTCATAACAAAATGGTCATTGTGGTAGCCTCACTAGTGTCTATCGGATTTATCAGACAAAGATATAACGTATGCATTCTTATTCATGACCGTCACAGAGCAATTTTCTGACGTATCGACAGAAATTTATCTCAGCTACAATCCAGAAAAGATTTTCTCTAGCATTTCACTATGGGATATCGCACGTTCATAACTGTTACTTCTTTGATGCAGGTTTCTGCAAGTGGCAGAAACTGACCCCCATGTTTTCTTATGTTTTGCCACGCTCTAGTTCGTCATCTTCTCCAGCCTCTAATGCTTCCCTGCAGATGGGATCTGCACACATTGGATATCAAAACCCTCCAAAGTAAACCCTCAAAAGAAGAACTGAAAGTGCTACCCATCATATACAGGTATGGGAAAAAAAACCCTGACATTTGAATATGCCTGCACTGAATCAATCCAATCAGAATTTTATCTTTAAGAAACCTTTTTTAATATAAAAATAGGAATCTTTGCCATAAAAATACACAACAAATCTATAGGAGCACAAATTCTAGAGTATTTGCAATCTCAAACAAGGGGAATGCTTTCTGTTGTTTACCACGTTGCGCACTTCTAAAACAACACTTATTCCTGTGAGCAGAGATTCCAAAGAAATAATTAATTTAACTTGCACTAAAACTTTCATACCTAATTGCCAAAACAAAGGACCTAATTTCTTATTGACATAAGAATCTAGCTGGCTGACCTGCTGGTTGTAAAAAACATGTTATAACAGACTATGGAGGACTAGGTACTTAAGAAATATCTTTCTTGACTCTTGAGAGCCAGGAGAGACAGGTCCATTACAATATTTAGAAGTCATATTGACTAGCATCAGTAAGTGCAGTCTTTGCAAGAGGAGACGGTTTAGAGATTAAAAGCACCCTCAGAGAGTCGAGGCAAAGGAGCTTTCTTTGTCCAAATTTCCAGTCGTCACTTTAGATAGAGAGTATGTTTGAGAAGTAACTAAGTATCTAAAGTTTACTGAAGTATAAATCATATCTAAAAGACACGGTCTCCAGTGGAAGGAATAGAGATGTTACGTTACTCAAAGCAGGGCAGAAAAATATATTGGCAGTGACTCAGCTTCTTCCAAAGGAAAATCTATTACCCTGCTTGGATACATTTAGCAAGCATTTGCTTACTTCACCTTAGGATTTTCCTGTTCTGCTATTGTTCCAACACAGAGCCTGGAGCTGGCGAAAAATAAACTCCAAAGTCAAGACTATTCAGAGTGACGAGCAGGTCACAGTCACTCTTCTAAACCTATGATGGAAGGAGGGAAGAATGTGGAGAGGAAGTGTAATATATGTGAGCTAGCAGAAATAGATTAAAGGGAATATTAATGCAGAACAAAGGAACAAAGTGAAGAGGTAGTAAAACTAACAGTGGAGAAGTTAAAGGAAGAGCAGCACGTAGGCTTTTGACGCAAGGCCTGCTCAGGCTAATGGAACAAGAATCACTAAATTCCCTATTGCAGCCGTCAAGGGGAACCAGATGCTTCCCACACCCTCAAACTCAGATGTAGAAACCACTGTTCATCCAAAGATAATTTGAGCAAGGATCTCTTTTTCCCATCTGTAATGACTGAGGAGTGAACAACTCTTCACTAAAAAGAGAGAAATAAAGTAAACCTACCTGCCGATGGATAATCTCTAGGTTTGCTTTTGCTTTATTCACTAGCTCTTCTATTTTTTCAGAATCTTTTATATTCTTGTTTTCTCTGAAGGCGTCTCTTATCCTTCTGATGGCATACGTTCTAAATGTAAACAACAAGAAGACATGTATTTGTAAATGTGCCACAGTTAGGACATTTCAATATTCTTTAAAACACATTGAAATTTTTTCTATATATTGCATATATGCATATAGTATATATGTACATACACATATATTTTACACACACACACACCCCTATGTATATTTTTTCCATGTATATACACACGCACACATTATTTGCCCAGATTTCATACACATCTCTTTTTATTCAAGGTCCTGTGTTGTCTGAATTGAAACAGTGACCAGACTTTTTAACTAAAAAGGTGGTTTTACCGGCACTTATTGCAGAAAAGTTTCATACTTCATGTACTTAATCCAGTTGTTATAGCTCTGCTTGCTACTGCCATAAAGAGGCACCACTGCCTGCCAATATTAAGAAGCTTCTTAAAGCTGCCGATAGTACTACTACTGTTGGATACCCAGCCTGGATAATCAAAGGACAAACCTCAATGACATTAAAAAAAGCCCCAAAACATAAAACCCAAAAAATTACCCCCAAAATTATCAGTGCAATTATTCCTAGCATTCTAAAGGTCATTGGTTACAATGCTAACCACTAAATAAATTACAGGTTTTTACCAGTTCTGACTTTGTAACATGGCAGGCACCAAAGGTAGACTGATGGATCAACCATGCTAAAAACCTGTCCTTTCCCCTCTGCCCTTTCTTTTCCTGAAAAAGCACATTTCACCTTTCAGTCCAACCTCCTCATCCCTTTCCCCCGCCTTTAATTAAAGCCAATAAAGAACCTTTGTGCAGTCTGCAGTGCACTGCTCAACAAAAAACAGGGCCAATTTCAATATTAAAATACAGTTTTCAGACTGAGCAGAAGAAACTTTCATTACATACTTGCTTGGGGGTTAAAAAAAAAAAAAAGGTGGTCAATTTATCCTGCTCAGCTATCTTGATAAACTCCTAACTTTCTACCAACACACCACATAAATACTGTATCTACTACAGACAGCAAAACCCTATGTTTGGCATTGAAAGGAAAAGGAAGGTTGCTGCAAACAACACAAATACTAGACTACTTCAACCACTGTTTTCCAGTTTTGTATAAAAGTAAAACACAAGGCACAAGTCTGTCTGAAACATGATCGTAAAAACCCACAAACACAACATTAAAAAATTAAAATATTGGTGGAGGGGAAGAAAGCAGGGAGGAAAAGACCATGAAAGATTAACAGCCAGACTCACTCCACACCATTAGATGGTGCTATCCAGCTCTTAATGCAGGTACCATGAGCCAAGTGGCATATTTTCTGCACAAGCTCATAAATAACACATTTCCATCACAGGAACCAGGATGGTTATGGAGTGCCACCCTGCTGCCACACACCAGCAGATGGTGTGTGCTTTTAATTAGGGCCTGTTCACCTGTAATGTGACACTGGGGTGTGTGAGTGAGCGTGTGTGTGCTTGTATGTGTGAAGTTAATAGAATGCATTAAATATGGAAGCTCATTCTCATCTGCAGCTGGTGTCCTAGCAAGACTTTAAGGGGAAGCTGCTTATTTCTCCTGGAGAAGAAACAACCTCAAATCATTGAGATATTGTTCTTGATAATGGATGAATTTCAAATCATCCTGCATATATGTAGAGTTAAGCTGTGCATAAACATAGCATACTTTCTACAAGAAAGGAATAGTTGCCAAAAGATACAGAATCCTAATGTCAATTTTTCTTAGCTTAAAAGCAAACAAAAGAACAACAAAAACAGTATGTATCCACTATTGGGTACAATCCTTCCAAAATGTGATTCAAATGAGTAATGTTATCTACATAAGAAAGATCAATGGGACTAAAACAAATTCTTGTTCAGTGTAACATCCATGGACTGGTTTTTGTACAGATGGTGCATTAACTGTACCATTTTCTCCCTCTTTCTCTTATTATACCCAAAAGTCATTGAGAAAGAAAGGCAATACACTGAAAAACTGCTCTGATGACGCTTTCTATCTGTAGTTGAAAAGCATCCTGCACTGTCTTTCCCTTTTACAACTTCTTTAAATGCCTATGAATGTTAACAATCAAATTGAGTTAAGTTATATAGGTTTAAGTACAAGCTTACCTTTATAGGTACAGCATTACATCTCCGATATTTTCTAAACACACTTCAAAGAATAGCTCTATATCCTGGTACTCTAATATTAAACTTACACTGAGATTCAAAATATCATTGAAGAAACGGAAGAGCTGAACTCAAAGCTCAAATCTAACACTATATTTGACTGTCAAACATCCTTTTTCCCCATTGAGAGGTGTCAGGGGAGCAATGCCAACTTTCCAACAGCCAAATTCTTTCAAAATTATGTAAAAAGTGTTAAGTCAAGATACAAACACATTGGACATTTTTTAAACAACAGCTTTTTATATGCGACAACTGTTGCAAGCAGCGTCAGTTCTGCATCCCAATGCTCTCTACACTTCTAGAGTTTCTAAACTGTGTATATAACAAAATCTAGCAGCAATACTAGGATTGCAATACTGCTGCAAATCTATGAACAGTTGAGCTCTTTTGAAAATATAGTAATGGGTGTGCAGCAACAAGCTGTAAGGATATATATGGCATGAAGAATCACAGAATCACAGAACGGTTGAGGTTGGAAGGGACCTCTGAGATCATCTAGTCCAACCTCCCTCCTCAAGCAGGGTCATCTAAAGCACATTGCACAGCATCGCGTCCAGGTGGGTTTTGAAAATCTCCAGGGAAGGAGACGCCACAACCTCTCTGGACAACCTGTTCCAGTGCTCAGTCACCCTCAACAGTAAAGAAGTTTTTCCTCATGTTCATTTGGACATATATCTGTTTTTCTAAGAGGATTACTCCAAAGGTCTTCTGGTTGATGAACAGAGACGGGTCAGTTAATCAGCTATCATTACGGTGTGTATTTGCAGTTCAATATGCATAATATACCAAAAATGATCATGGAGGTTTTGAAGGCACAGCTCAAAATGCCAGTGGCAAAGAGTACATGGCTATCTTCATAAAAACCTGCAACATTAACCTAAAAGAAGCACTACCTGAAGACACAGAAAGAGACAGAGAGCACCCTGGCACCTGCCCCTCCCTCAAGTTTTGTAATTTATGGAAAGTTATTTACCTGAACACACCACTGATACATGTAATTAAGGGAATACAGCTCTGCAATGAGCTTAAGCCAATGTGAATGGAGGGGAACTGCTGCAATTTTGCCACTTCTGGCAGCATGGAAACCCTGCCACCTCCTCAGACTAGCGCTGTCCATCTGGTTACCAGACCCTGGAATGTGTCAGCGCAGCTTGGCAAACTGACAGAAGACCAACGCACAAAAAGAGTGAACTGTTTTTTGCTGCTGGATTAGTGAGCTGAACTGGCTTTTTGCAGGGTTGGATGAACATTAGTGCTGAGGAGGAGGGAATACAGAACTACGGATAAACACCGAGGTAGTTTGCGAAAGATCCCACTCTGAGAGAAGCTGAGCAAGTCACATAAATCAATGGGCCTCTGCAGTAAGAGCATAAGGAACAAGGTCTCCGGAGAAACTGAGTGACAAAGCACTGCCTGGACCCCACACCAAAACAGCTCCTTGTCTTCAGAAGAGCTCCTAGGAACGCAAGAGCGAGTGTTCATTAACAAATATCATTACAAATGAAGATTGCGTTTCACAGTCCACTATTTTTCTCATCATTCTTTGGGAATAGATACTAAACAATTGCCTGAAATGCACTGAAGTGTTTTTTTTTTTTTTTTAATCATTCACATATACTGAAATTTTAATAGAAAACACCTTTGATTTTATCTTCTGCAAAGATTTTCCAGATAGCTAGAGACCACAGGCCCCAAGTAAGAGTGTACAGTTAAATATATTCACTGACCTCTATCTTATAAATACATACTCACTGAAACACTTTTTGTGACCTTACTTACATGCATCTGTCACACAACTAAATCCCAATTAAATCAAACGTATGTACTTAATGGGTAATAGATTCAGTATAATGGCCTCAGACCAAAGTCACTGCAGGTGAACGACTATGCAAGGCAGATGTACATAAGTAGAAAATAAAAAGAATGGTTGGGGGTTAATATGAGAAAAATGCCAGGAGCAAGGCATTAAGACAAACTCATAAGCAAAGGGCACTAACTGTTAATGCTAAAAGACAACAATGCCCCTAAATAATAGCAAATATAAGGGGTTACGGTTAGCAAATACACTCTTTTTCCTTGTATTCAGTCATTAACCTCTAATTTCAGAGAGTCCATCTTTTCCTTCCCTGAAGCACAACTGAAACCCTATCATGTGTCATATCCTCATAAAAATGGAGCCTACAAGAAGTGAAATCTGAAACAATGGCTATTAAAGAAAAACGAAATCACAACACAGGTACTTCAAAAAACAAACGCTGTTTGGGGATTTAGGTATTTTTATTTCAAAAATGTTTACTTATCTGATGCCTGACCATAAAATAAAAATCAGTTTTCTTTTCGAGTCTTCACTCTTTATCTTTGTACTCTGCTAAAATAGACAGTAAGGAAAAAAAAAAGTTGAAACACTGTGCCCAGCATACTTGCTTTTAACTAGACAGCACTATGTCTCAAAAATAAATCTGGCTAAGCCATGTTTGTCTCCACACCACTTTGCATTTACCAGTACTCAGGACACACTGAAGGTTTAAGTCATCTTTCAAAAGCAGCTGTATCAATATGCTGACACTTAAGCTCTGTGATTGTGAACAAAAACAGTGTATTAACGGAGCACATCACAGTTAGACGCAACATACTGCTAAACATAATGGCTATTACAAACTGTTAGCCTTTGAGCATTGATACAAAGATTGAAGAGGAAGGCTGTGATATATAACCTCTACAAACAAAATGGATCACAGGGGAAGAGGCCAGAGAATTAGAATATTCAAGACTTTTTCAAAAAAAGGAATAAAGTAAAATAAAATTTTTCCTTATTAGCTAAAGTTGTATTTAATAAATTACGGTGAGCAA